GTTTCTCTGAGTAGCTTTGGAGCCTATCCTGGCACTCACTCTGGAGACCAGGCTGGCCTTGAACTCACAGAGATCCGCCTGCCTCTGCCTCCCGAGTGCTGGGATTAAAGGTGTGCGCCACCAACGCCCGGCTTGAGTTTTCTTACTTACAAAAACTCTTAAACTCTTTTCTTTGTGGATGTGCCTTCAGCATGTTCATAGTGACTTCCTGTGTCTCCGTAAGGAAAGCTTGCTGATCTTGTCACAGACATAGCACACCTGGGACCCTTACAGGTCCTGCTAACGTGTTTTTGTTTTGTTCAGTCTCCAGAGCTTTAGGTCTCTTGCTGGGTAATAGTGGTGCCCGCCTTTAATCCCAGCATTTAGGAGGCAGAGGCAGCAGATCTCCAAGTTTGGGGCTATCCTGGTCTATAGAGCGAGTTCTAAGCCAAGTCTACACAGAGAAACCCTGACTTTAACAAAACAAAAACCCTTCAGGTAGGTCTGGAAACTCACTCCTTGAAGTTGGCCTGGGTGCATGCCACATGCCAATTTTGTTGCTTTTCCAACCTTCTTGGAGTACAGAGCCCCAATCCTATCTATCACTAGGAATTAGGGAGAAGCCTCATTTTGTTATAGGCTGTGTTGTAGGAGAGCCTACAATGCTATGCAAGTCTACCATGCTGAGCGCCTCTATGTACCACCACCACCACCCTTTGCCACCCTTTGTGTCTTGGTTTTCTGAGGCAAGTCTGCCTCTTTCATGAGGCTATTTACAGGAGCTTGGGTGGCTGCCCCACTAACAGTCATTTTTATGGTCAAATGTTCTAACACACTACAAACTAAATAAATGCTTAGTATGATGCATGATGAGGGGCTGTGGGGAATACTGTCTTTGCTTTCTGTAGTTGAGCCAAGAGCAAAGACTACACTAAAAATGTTGACTCTGCACATTGGTGGTGGTGTTGCAGCGGGCAAAGTGGGCAGCTTTTGTGTTTGCGGTGAAGGCCGCTACTGCCAGAAACACTGGGTCCGTCCCGTTTAATTCTGAGTTGTCCTTGGGGTGTTAACCGTTAACAAGTTTTTCACAATCCCCAAATTCACTTGAGGTTGTAGCCCACAGTGAAGAGCTTGCTATAGTGTTCTGTGTGTTCTGCACTGTTGTGGAAGTTGTAGTGTGGACTTTCCTTTTGCACTGAGGTGATGTTGAGTGTGGTGAAACAAACAGCTCAACTCTGGTAAGTATATTTAGTATGTTGTATAACATCATCCCTGTCTAGTTCTAGAACACTCCATTACCCCAAAAGGAAATCCTATTCTCATCAAGCGTCCCCAGCCCCTCATTGGGGAGCTTCTAGGCAGATGTTCTACCACTGAGCCACACCCCCAGCACTCTTTGTATTTTGTTGTGTGCGTGTGTTTGGTTTGTTGGTCTGCTTGCTTGTTTTTGCGTGTTCTACCACTGAGCCACACCCCCAGCACTCTTTGTTTTTTGTTGTGTGCGTGTGTTTGGTTTGTTGGTCTGCTTGCTTGTTTTTGCAACAAGGTCTGACTATGTAGCCCCTGATTTGCTTGGAACTCACTATGTTGACCTGGTTGGTCTTGAATTCACAGGGATTTGCTTGCTTCTGCATCCCAAATGTTGCCCCCTTTGCTTTTCATTTTGATGTACAGTCATACTAAGTTGCCCAGACTGGCCTTGAACTTGGTACCCTCTTTCCTTAGTGTCCTAAGTTGCTTGTGGTGACTCTATATTACCAGGCCCAGCAGAGCCTCCTAAACTAGAAAAAGAAAGACCCAAGCTGATCACCTATTGCTATCCAAAGGTCCTGAGCAGCCTGGGACAGCAGCCTGCTGTCTGGATGGGGCCTGGTCACATACTTTGCAGACCACCCTAAGTAGTGGAGTCTTCTGTCTGGATGTGGGGTGATCTTTAGGCAGGTTTGCTTGAACCTGGGGCAGCTGCCTGGGCTCTCTGCTGGGTATGAATCAACTCCTTGTTCCCACAATCCCCTTGTTCTCAGCCTGCCTACTCAAAAGCACATATATGAAGTGTGTGTATGTATGTGTGTGTTTAGTCTTTCCTTTATAATAGTTTCCAGAGGGCTGTCAACACTGCACTGGCACTTCCCTGCACACTCTGGCATTCATGTGGGGTACTCTCTGCCTCCCCTGCCCCCAAGCCCTCGAGTACCTGACTTTGGATACTTTTTACTGAATCACAGCAGTTACCCACTTCGACCCATGTGACCTAGATCCAGTCCCATTCAGTCTGCAACAGGCTTATCTGCAGATTCTGTGGGTGGTCGTCAGGGTTTCAGCCCTTGATGGCAGGTGAGGTGGCATAGAGCCAGAGTAGAGTATTACCTAGTGACCTGCTTTGGCCAGCCAGGCCTACCACCTTCAAATAACTGTGCTGGCTGGGGACACTTCTAGACAGCTGAGAGGAGATGTACACAGCCCCCTCTCTGCTGTGTACTTCATTTGTTATACATGCTCCTGGATTAGAGGACATGGTGGGGACAGCTGATTTGATTCATTCTTTGATCCTTGCTCCTGAGTGTTTTATGTATCCAGGTCTTGCTTCCAGGTGACAGTGGTGTTAGCTTTCTCATTGCCTCCTCAGAGACCTGAGCGAAGCAGCAGGTTTGGTTTGGCTTAGAGCTTCAGTTTGTGTTGCTGGGCCTAGATGGTTCTGAGCCCATGCTGAGAGCATGCTGGGAGCACAACTGCTCACTTTGGGACAGAAGCAAGGGGTTGGGGAGGGCTGGGAACTAGCTGTCCCTTAAAAGGTGAGTCCCCAGAGACTTCCTTCCGCTAGGGTCTCCAGCCTTCCTAGTCAGGCTTCTGTTTATGAGTGCAGAGACTGGGGAGATGGCTGAGTGGATGAAGTTCCTGCTGTGCAAGTGTGAGGATCTGAATTTGTCCCCAGCATGCAGGGGAGAAACGAGGAGTGGTGACATGTCTGTGATCCCAGCACTGGGGAGGCAGAGACAGGCAGCTCTCTGGGGCTTGGTGGCAGCCAGCCTAGGCTACTTGTAAGTTCCAAGTCAGAGAGAGACTCTGTTTCAGAAAACAAGGTGGGCAGTGCCTGAAGGATGACATTCAGGCTTGATCTCTGGCATCCACACACGCCTACATATGAACATGAATTATGAATCCATTCATGGATTCATCCAGTGATGAGAGATTCATTTGTGTGGCTGCTCATCTCCCCATAGTGTCACCAGCTGGGGTCCAAGCTTTTAATAGACGAGTGTCTTGGAATAACGTGTACACAAACTGTAACTGAGGAATGAAATGACATGGCTTCCATTCAGAAGTCCAGCAATCGATTAGGGTTAATCATAGTGTGCCCCACACCATGTGGGAAAGTGGAGCTGGCAGGGACCTGGCAAAGCCGGGGCGGGCGAGTGCCATATTTGACCATTTTGGAATCTGGAGAAGGGTCAGGGGGGTCTGTGAGCATGAGGTCCCTGCAGATTGCACCACCTTTGGGTTTGCTCATGGTGGGTGCCAGGGTAGTTGAGGGCATGGGATAGGAGACTGTGGAAAGTGAAGGGGGTGTGAGGACTGGTGTGGGGAGGGGTGAGTAGAGATGGTTGAAGTAGCTGCTGGTGAAGGATGGGGAAGCCACACGTGAAAAGGCTTGGAGCCATGTTGGGTGCACAGCAGGGGTGGGAAATAAGCTCTGCTTAGATCACATTGAACCTCAACTTGCCCACAGGATGGATTTTAAGCGGCGACAAGGACCAGGCCCTGGGGTGCCCCCAAAACGGGCTCGTGGGGGTCTCTGGGATGAGGACGAGCCATCGCAATTTGAGGAGAACTTGGCGTTGCTGGAGGAGATAGAGGCTGAGAATCGGCTGCAGGAGGCAGAGGAGGAGCTGCAGCTGCCCCCACAGGGCCCTGCAGGTGGTAAGCTCCCACCTCTCAGCCCAGCCCACCTGGATGTAGAGATACTGAGAGATGGCTGGCAGTTATTTTTCAGTGGGGTCTGGCTGTTGCCCAGGGTGATTTCAAACTATACTTGAATGTTATCCCATCTTATTCTCTCCAATGTCTAGACTGCCTTTCCTGCTTGAGCGATTTTAGCCCTAGTCCCCCAGTCTGTCCCACCGCCTGCACCCAGCAGAGTGAGCAGAGTGTGGTTGCCTCTCTGTGGAAGACCCACCCATAAAGTCTCTTGTCTCTATCCAGGGCAGTTTTCCACTGCAGACATTGACCCACGCTGGAAGCGGCCCGCCCTGTGTGCCCTGGATCCCAACACGGAGCCCCTCATCTTCCAGCAGCTAGAGATTGACCACTATGTTGGTGAGTTGGCAGGGAAGGCAGGGGCTGTACCAGTACTCTGGTGGCTGCACATAGTCTCTACTGCACTGGCTGGACTGACTCCCAGGAGGGAGGCACAACAAGGCAGGTGGGATATGGTTTGCCTCCTTCATGTTCAGTGTGGGAGCCTGGGTTCAGTAGGTAAAGCCGCTCGAACCAATTCCCAAAGATGTCTTCTGGTTTCCACACATGTGCTGTGACCCATGCATCTCCTCCGTACTCATAAACAAAGATTATTAGAATATTACTCTGTGGGGTTAGGACACAGGCAGCTCAGTGGTAGAGCTGCTGCCTAGAGTTCCCCGGTGAGGGGCTGTGGTGTGGCTCAGTAGAGGGCCTGGCTCTGTCTCCAGTGCCACAGGGGAAAGCTGGCTTTCACTGTAATGCATGCTCTGCCTCTGAGTGGAGAAGGGCATCAGGAAGGCTTTGAAGGTTGAGGTCCCAAGGCTTCAGTGATGGGCCTCAGGACCTGAGACGCATTCTGTGACCACTCCCCCAGGCTCAGCTGTGCCACTGCCAGGAGGACCCCCAACGTCCTGTAATTCAGTGCCCATACTACGGGCCTTTGGGGTGACTGATGAGGGCTTCTCCGTCTGCTGCCATATCCATGGCTTTGCACCCTACTTCTACACCCCTGCACCTCCCGGTGAGTGTCCCTGACCTGTGGGGCTTGTTCCTGGATCCCAGGATGTCTCTTGCTCTTCTGACTGGCCTTCCACACCAGGTTTTGGGGCCGAGCACCTGAGTGACCTGCAGCGAGAGCTGAGCACAGCCATCAGCCGGGACCAGCGTGGTGGGAAGGAGCTGTCGGGGCCAGCAGTGCTGGCCATAGAGCTGTGCTCCCGTGAGAGTGAGTGTGGGTGTCTTGGGGACCAGTGGGGTGGTGGGGAGCCCAGGTAGGTGCCAACCTCCTTTCTCTGCAGGCATGTTTGGGTACCATGGTCACGGCCCCTCTCCATTTCTCCGCATCACCCTGGCGCTACCCCGCCTTGTGGCACCAGCCCGCCGCCTCCTGGAACAGGGTATCCGTGTGCCAGGCCTGGGTACCCCAAGCTTCGCACCCTATGAGGCCAACGTGGACTTTGAGATCCGGTGCTGTCCTGTCTTCCCTTTACCCCATTCCTACTGCACCCCATCCAGGTGGCCATTGCCAGCTGACCCACCACTCTTCCAGGTTCATGGTGGATGCTGACATCGTGGGCTGCAACTGGTTGGAGCTCCCAGCTGGGAAGTATGTTTGGAGGACAGAGAAGAAGGTAAGGGACTTCCTGGGGCAGGAGCAGGGAACGTGGGCTCACTGCCAATATTGTTGTCCACCATGTGCCTTCCCTCAGGCTACACAGTGCCAGCTGGAGGTGGATGTGTTGTGGTCAGATGTCATCAGTCACCCACCAGAAGGGCAGTGGCAGCGTATTGCGCCCCTTCGTGTACTTAGCTTTGACATCGAGTGTGCTGGCCGCAAAGGTCTGTTCCCAGAGCCTGGGCTCCTCCCCTCTCTCTGGACATTAGTGATGCTCCAGGCCCCTGTGGAGGGACAAGTGGGCGGGAAGAATGTTCCCTACAGGGAGAGTGCCAAGTGCAAATGCACTCGGGAAGGTGTCTCCCCCCCCCCCCCGTATGGCTGAAAGGGGAGCTGGGGAGGCAGTGAGCAGATGGGGGGCAGAGGAGGACTGAGGCCCTGTGCACCTCCTCTCTGCAGGCATCTTCCCTGAGCCGGAGCGTGACCCTGTGATCCAGATCTGTTCCCTGGGGCTGCGGTGGGGAGAACCAGAGCCGTTCTTGCGCCTGGCACTCACACTGAGGCCCTGTGCACCCATCCTTGGTGCCAAAGTGCAGAGCTATGAGCGGGAAGAAGACCTGCTCCAGGTGGCTCCCCCCCTCAGACACCGCTGCCCTCTGTCCCCATCCACGCCAGTGACCTTTCTGTACAGTCACACCGTGTCCTTGGGATTGGGGCCTGTACGCTTTTGGCCAAATATTTTCCTGAGTTCTGTGATGTTTTTACAGATGCCAAGGTTGTCTTGAACATTGTGGAAATGAGGGTATCTGAGGCAGTAGACAACCTGGTTGACGCTCTGTGCTCCCTCCCACAGGCCTGGGCCAACTTCATCCTTGCCATGGATCCTGATGTGATAACTGGCTATAATATTCAGAACTTTGACCTCCCATACCTCATCTCGCGCGCGCAAACCCTGAAGGTAAGGAAGCTGGGAGCCTTCTCCTGGGCTACCCTTGTGCTGCATGTCTCAGAGGCACCCTGAGCTGGCTGGCTGCTCTCGAGTCCCACTTGTAGCTTACCTCACTCTATCTGGAAGCAGAGTATGTTGACAGGAGACTCAGAATCCAGCCCTCTGCATCCTGGTCATCATCACTGCCATTGTGGCCAGGCCTTGCTTTAGAATTCACTGGCGAGACATGAGGGGGAGTGGAGGCTTGGAAGAAGGAAATGGGTGTTTGTTTTGGTGGGTGGCAAAGGCTGGGTGCTGTTGAAAGGACATGTGGGCTTTGTTCGTGCCAGCCACTGTTACCAGCTGCACACGAGAGGCAGCGGAGGTGTGGGATGCTGGTGTTTTGTGAGCTCCAGGGCAGGCCCTCCTGAGCCTGGCTCCAAGTGGAGACTCCCTGGCGCTCATCTGTTTGGGCCTTACCACAGTTTGGTCTGATCCTTCTTCAAGGGCCAGTTCTGTTGCAAGTGGGTCGTGGGTGATATACAAGGCATCTTCTGGGGGTTCATTTCAGCCCCAAATACGATATGCTGTACCATTTTCCTGCTCTCTGCATCTGTAGCAGTTTGGTAGTGAATAGGCAAAGCAGACCTTCCTACCCAGCTGCATGGAGACACTAGCCCTCATGTCCTGGGTGACTCTCGCTCAGCTCCACCTCCCCTGACTCCCTCTCTCTGCCAGTCTGTATTCCAACTTCTGAAGGCACCCCTGCTGGTTTTCAGAACCTTCCCACCGGGGCTTCCTTCTGCTCCCTCCCCAGGCACAGTCCTTGTGTCTACCTGTCACCAGTCTCTCAGTCTTCCCAGGGCTATAGCTCTCAACCTTGTCCCTGGTCTCCTTTATCCCTCTCAAGCAGTCTCTGCCCTCAGTGGCCCCAAGAATGCCATGGCTAGTCCCTGTCCATGTGGCCTAGTTCAGAGCTGACTGGCTGTCCCCTGGCCCTCTCCAGGTGGACCGCTTCCCTTTCCTGGGCCGAGTGACTGGTCTCCGCTCCAACATCCGAGATTCCTCCTTCCAGTCGAGGCAGGTGGGCCGGCGGGACAGTAAGGTGGTCAGCATGGTGGGTCGAGTTCAGATGGACATGCTGCAGG